CTCAGCACCAGATGCTAATGGTGTTGACGGGAGGTGAGGATGGCAGGCTATCTTGTTGGAGAGCAATCTTCTTGCCAAGAACAATTAGAAAAGTTGAGAAATTTTTTAAAAGTCCCTTTGAAGGCATCAGAGGCAGAGGAGATTTCAAGGCTAAAATGCTAGGGAAAAAAGAACTTCAGAGAGGAGTGCTGAAATAGCTTTTCTTTGTTATTTGCTGATTTGCAAGCAGTAGCTAAGAGGGCAAGAAGCTGAAGAGAGTTTCTGAAAAATCTTGTGGGCTTAAGGGAAACACTTGGGAGTTCTGTGCCCATTAAAGAGAAGGCACTCTAGGCTTTTAGTGGAAACTATTAAAGGACTATACCCTAGAAGCAGCAATGAACTGGAAATAGGCCACCTCCTCCAAAGATGGCTTTGATTCAGCCCAATTCCCAATGACATCAAAGTGATCTACCCTAAGTATAACTGCAAACACAAAGGAAAATCCTCCCTGGAGGAAGATTCTAATATTATTTCAATAATTTTTTACATATAATGCCAGGTATTCAGTTAAAAAGAAAAAGCTTACCAAACTGTAATGGTCAATTTTACATGTCAGCTTGACTGGGCCACAGGGTGCCCAGATATTTGGTCAAACAATTTGGATGTTTGAGGGTGTTTCTGGCTGAGATTAACATTTGAATGGTACATTCAGTGAAGCATATTGCCCTCCCTAATGTGAGTGAGCCTCATCCAATCAGTTGAAGGCCTGAATAGAACCAAAAGGTTTAATAAAAGATAATTCCTTCTGCCTGATCACCTTCAAGCTGGGACTTTTTAATTTTCTGCCTTCAGACTCAAACTGAAACATCAGCTCTTCCTGGGTCTTGAGTCTGCCAGCCTTTGGACTGGAATTAACCCATCAGAAATTCTAGTTCTCAGACCTTTGGACTGAAACTAGAATTATATCATTGGCTCTCCTGGGTCTGTAGTTTGCTGACTACAGATCTTGGGATTTGTCAACCTCCATAAACACGTGAGCCAATTCCTTACAATAAACCTCTTTCTATATACATACATCCCATTGGTTCTGTTTCTCTGGCAAACCTGGACTAATACACAAACACATGGATAGACAAGATAACATGACCAAAACAAAAAAGGAAAAAGCATGAGTAGAAATGCAACCCTATGAGATTTAGATGTTGGAATTATCAGACACAATCTTTATTTATTTTCATTTTAAATATATCATCACTGAACTTTTATAAAAGTAATGGTATTTTTAAAAATTGTTGATGGTACAAAGGAGAATAAAGTCAGATAGGAGTTTAAAATCACTAAAATGTGATCAAGATATTAGATGACAAGATGGAGATTTGCAATAATTAGTAATAATAATAATAATAAAATGGAAATTTTATAGGCAAAAAATATAATAGCTAAAATTGAGGATTAACAGATGGGTTTAAAGGTGTTTATACATAGCTCAAGTAAAGATTAGTGAAGTAGAATGTAAGTCAGAAGAAATATCTACAATGAGGCAGGGAGACGAACAAGAGTTATTGTATGTAGATTATACTTCAATTAAAAGGAAAGCTGAAAAATCTAATAAGAAAAATCAAAGAAATACATACTAGCTATAATACAGGGTGGAATATAAAAGAACTATGAAAAAAAGTGTTACAAAGGAAGGACAGAGTGAAAATGACTGGGAAGAATCAGGAAAGAGTTCATACAGGAGCTTATGTTTGAGAGGATGTTCCAGAAGAACAGAAGGCATCAGTTAGGTGGTGTGGGACAAAGCAGAAAGGAAGCAGTTCAACAAAGGCACACAGATAGGAAAATATGTATCTGGACAATGAGAAATTATCATCATCAGGATGGAGCCCTATGTGCAGGGACTGTAAGGCAAACACAGAAACTACGAATGGAAGGAAACAAGGGCCTTCAGGAGAACCCCCCTGGTACCCAGATAACCAGAATATGTCCCTAAGTTTTTATGAAATCTCTTCTAAAAAAATGTCCATCGACATTAGCATAGTATTACTGACGCTCTCAGATGTTCTCCTTTGTAAGAGGGTATAAGAAGCTCCTCAGCATCTTCTTGAGGGTAGTAGATTATGAAAGAGAAAAAGGCTGAAACTCTAATGTTCAATTTGGCTTTTTGAAGCCAAATTGGGAGCTTTGAAGAAGCTCCCAATAACAGTACCATTGAGGGGAGAAATTATTTGTTGAAATGTAGTTTCTGGACAGTGTCTGCATTCATGCATGCTCCCTGTGGTCTCTACATGACTGATCCTGAAAAGTGATTTACTGTCTGGTTTCCTGGGGAGAGGTTTGCAGTATGACACTGGCTTCCATGTTTTATCTATTGATACACCTTTCTGACACCTGACAATCTTGCTTCTTCCCAAACAAATAGAATTAGTCCGAAATGGCCTGGAACGTGAGATCTCAAAGCAACCACATTTTAGTCTTGTGAAGCACCTTTCATTTAGTGCCTGCTAGGCTTTTTCCATTTCAGGGAACTTTTTGCATATTGTTCACAGATTTTCCATACAAGCAAGAAGTGAGCGTAAAACAACCTCATACATTCTGGTTAACCATATTAGAGAGCTTTTTCCTTTCTTAAAGATCACAATCATACTTCTCATCTTCAAAAACAGACCTAGAAACAAACTGCTACCTGAACTAAACAAAATCCAAAAAGAAGCAGTTTCACAGAATGTTGTTCATCCGTTTCCACTCCCCTCCCTGTTATGTCTTCTCTGATAGTTATGCTCTGTCCACTAAGGCTCTATGAGGGTGTTTTTCTATGAACAAGGCTTCAGTGTGGCCAGGTACAAGCAATACTTTTCAGAATCCACCCAACAGCAAGGGAATTCACAAAGGTATCACCTCTGCCTTAGCACTGGCCACTCTCTCATACCCCAAAGCCTCTCAATATCCTACCATTATTAACCTCTTGGTCAGATGAGATTTGAATATGGCCATACTTTCAAATAAGATCTGCTTCAACCTAGAATAGGATGAACGATGCTAATCCCAACCTGTGATTTTGTTATTACATCAAATAACAATTACCAGTCAAGCTATCAAAAGGCAAACTTATTAACAACCGAAATCATTATTTTTTTTTGAGGTGGGGAGAGAAGTACGTTAATTTAAAAAAATTGCAAGGAAGGCCAAAAGCCGAGGTAATTGAGTGGAGTAGGAAGAGTAGGTAAGATAAGGTAAGAGCAGGGAAAAGTGGCAGGGGAAAAAGCTAACTGCTACTGCTACAATGCTGATACTAACTCAGGGCCACTACTGATCTTATAGGTGGGTTTTCCTGCAGAGAAAACATAGGTTTGATATTACCATTTACTTTTCTCTTGATTTGTTATCTATTGCTATCTAATAAATTACTAAAACTTTGTAGCTTAAAATAATATAAACTTAATATTGCAGAGTTTCAGCACATCGAGAGTCCAGGCTTGGTTTAGCTGGGTTCTCTGTTTAGCATCTTACCAGGCTGCAATCAAGGTGTCAGCAAGGGCTGCAGTCTCATCTGAGGCTTGACTGGGGAAGGATACAAATCACTAAGGTTGTTGACAGGATTTAGTTCTTTGTAGCATAGGATCAAGGATATCAGTTTTTTTGTTGGATGTTGGCTGAAGGCTACTTTCAGCTTCTAGCAGCCACCTGCAATTTCTTGCCATATAGGTCCCTCAACATAGACAACCCACAATATGCTTGCTTTTAAAGCCAGCATGGGAGAGAGACTTCAGCAAGTCAGGATCTACAATCTTATGTATATAAATCACATATACATAATCACATGCTTCACCTTTATCATATTTTATTGGCTAGATGCAAGTCATAGGTCATATCCACTTATGGAGGGGATTATATGTAGAAATGAACATTAGGAGGTGAGGATCATGGGGCACCACCTACCCTACAGTCTGTCCACCACACCCCTAAGCTTTTTCCTTTCATGTACAACAATATTTTGTACAAACATTTGCGTTGTCCAATTTGAGAAATCTTCAACTACTCTGAGACCATAATAATATTCTTCAATTCTGTCTTACAGAAGCTGAATTAGTATTGCTCCTTTGGATGCATATAGCTGCTGTCTCTTGCTGCTGATCTATAGTCTCTTTCACTGTCAAACAAGACAATTGTTTCCTTAAGATCAATGAAGTGGTTAATCTATATGAACAGAAGTCGTCAGCGGCACTTATGAATCAAGTGAGACTTTTACCAGCAGAAGCTGCTGATGTAACTTTCATATAGTTTAATTTAATTAAATGAAAAAAAAAAGGATGTTTCTATGCTAGAACTTGCAAGCATTCAAAGAAAAAAAAAAAAGAGCCAGCTCTTGTTCTTGTGGCTATAAAAAAAATTACACTTAAGCTACAAGCCACAAAAGAAAAGCTAATAGGAGACAATACAATTGGCCCAGAAGTAGCAGAAGTTATATTCTATAAAAACAGTCAGCAAAGTTTTCATGCAGGAAGTGAAATATGGCTAATGACTTATTTGTTCTTTCATCTATTTATAAACTATCTTGTACCCAAAAGGACTTAAGTAGGTTAGTATTTAATATGGGCCTCGTAGGACAATTTGAGGCCTAAGAAGGACTGCACTGAACTTGACAATATATAACGCAAACATAAGTTATACCTACTGAGTACAGTGCTCACTATCTGGGTAACTGGTACACTAGAAGCCCAATCCCCGACCATTACATAATATACTTGTGTAATAAACATGCACATGTACCCTCTGAATCTAAAGTTAAATTAAATTTAAAAACAAAGATCTCTCCTGGAACAATTTTCTGCTATAAAGTAACATGACCAAATCACTTTAAAAGAAAAAAAAAAGATGACCATTAAATGACTATAATAGTGAATAAATATATGTCTTTACAGAAAATTCAAAAAGAAAAAATATTAAATCATCATCAAACTCATCACTTAAATACAATGACTAAATTTATTTTATAATTTTATTATCAAGCTTTTCCATGTGTAATTTTTATACAGTTGTATTCACATATTCTCTATGTATTCTGACATTTTTATATTCTATAATTTGTATTACATTGGAACAGAACACATTGTAATTATAGAATTACATTCTACAATTATGTATTACATTGTCTTTTGAAAACATAACTTTAATGGCTAGACATCCATACTTGCCTTTAAGGTTAGACATTAGAATATTTCCAATTTTTTGTTATAATAGTATTTTTGCACATGATTTTCTCTACCTTTGACTGTTTTCTTAATATAAATTCCAAAGAAAAGAATTAATAGGTTCAAAAGGTATGAATACTTTTTTAATGGAAACTTTTTTTTCTGATAACACATGGTCATTATAAAGAAAAGGAGAAACAATATAGAGTTTTCACTCCAACACAAGCTTTACCCTTCACCACCACACAGAAAACTACTATAAGCCACCTGGTATTTACCTGTTCAAACTTTCTAAAAATGTATATAAGTATACAAATACACAACACAAATTTTCTTCTTGGTTAACCTAAAGTTTATGTTTCCTATGTAATTTTAGATTATGCAATAGTAATAGTTAATTTTGATAACTGTTGAGGTTCATTCATCAAATGAACATTAGCAAATACTACTATACTCAACATAAACAGACATCATTAAGTATATTACTATATGCTAATTCATTAAACACTGTATCATACATTGTGGTAGGCACACACTTTTTGATAAACTAGCTAGTTCTTCAGTGAATTATCTGTTCACATCCTTTGCATCTTTGAGAACTTGCTGTCCTTTTTATGAATTTCTACAAATTATTTATAGTAATTAACCTAAGCTAAAATAATTAGCTAAAGGTCCACATACCACAGACTAGCAACTTCCATCACCACGGTAATATTCTCCAACAACTACTTCAGTGCCTCAAGACACAACAATACAGACCTTGGAGTTTGCTGAACTGCAGAATACTACTGCAAAGCATCAGATCAAGAATGTACACACCAAAGAATATGGCTTAAATCAGCTTCCACTGACAGATCTGATACCTTGCTGCTTATATCTTAGAACTTAAAAGATTTCAAAGAAATATATAGTCCCATTCTAGTTTTAACCCTGATAATTCAGGGAAATGAGAAAATACATCTTGATACAAGCTGATATCAGCATCTTCACTCAAGGGAGTCTCTGTGCTAATAGACAACATCATAGGTGGAAAGAGCTAGAACACATTAATATAGAAGACCTTTCCTTCAGAGAATTTGATTCGTATTCCTCCTGCTTCCAAGGGATATGAGAAGACAGAGCGGGCATCACAGAAAGACCAAGAACAGATTTAATTGTCCAGAGCATTTCAATGTGTTCTGTTCCAAGCTTTTGGAAAGCTTAGGTAGGTGGTTCTCAAACTTAAGCATGTATCAGAATCACCTGCAGTGCTAGTTAAGTGCTGGTTGGTAAGCCCCACCACTCGGGGTGTGGAGAGGGACAAGAATTTGCATTTCTAACAAGATCACAAGTGATGTTGATACTACTTTGAGGCATGCTGGCTTATTCAAATTAGTGCCTAGTGTATTTTACTTACAACTACAGTACTCCTGGGCCAAGAAGAGGTAGTGATAAAATGTATTGGGCGGCAAATACATGGCTTTCTCTGTCCAGCAGTCACTTAACTTCATTTGCCCTACCTGTCACTTTAAACGCATCTCACTAATTCCCAAGCTACTGGACATCTGAGAGGATGGGGGAACTTTTTAACATCTGACAGTATATCATGGGTACACAAATATTAAAATGGCTCAATATTTAAATCTGAAAAGTGTTCTGGAATTCTCAGATGAAATGCATTAGATAAAGCAGTAAGTATTAACATGCATGAAGAATGCTCTATTATAAAGTCCTGTTTTCACTTTCTTGCAGCTTTCCAAAAAATTAGCCCTTTGTGGTGAAATTTTCCATGCTTGGTTTCAGCCCAAAGGTGATTTTTTTCTTTCTTTGCGAAGTTTCAGAAAAACATATTAAGTCGTTTTTGAGTTATGAAAAGATGAAAAAAGCCCACACAATTTTTCCACTTTGAAAGCAATTTCAGGATTTAAAAAAATAAGCAGATAACTAAAAATGGCTGAAGTTGAAAAGTTGAAACTGTCCATGTGTCTAGTTTTTATTAGCAAGGTTTCTCCTGGGTAATTCAGAAAAGATAATGTGTGTGTGCGCACACATGTACAGATACATATATATTTAAATAAATGCATAAGTGACTGGAAAAAAAGCATTTCATCATATACAATACAAACTTTTCTTAGGGTAAGAGATCAACTGTTTTCTGAAATGGAATATCTTTCACAAATCAGAGTAGTTGCTGATTGTCTAAGCCTGTGTTTTTCACACAGCAGGATTTATTAATGGGTCACATAGAGGTAATTGCCAAACTGCTATGCATTGTGTTTGCAGAATACTTCAATTTCCTTCATACTCCTTCTGTCCCCAGCTGAATTCTAGGACTCTGATTTACTATCTCTTCAGTTTCATTTTTGCCCTTGGTCCAGGCCTTAACAGCTCCCTTTATCTCCTATGCTCCAGAACACTCACATATGCTGTCATTTCTCTCTTCTCTCCGAACTCCTCGCAATGCATTCACCTGCTTCTTACTAAAGCACTCCTGGTGTATTTGAAGAACTCAAATATTAAAAACAGGCCAGGCACGGGCTCAGGCCTGTAATTCCAGCACTTTGGGAGGTCAAAGGGGGCAGATCACCTGAGGTCAGGAGTTCGAGACCACTGTGGCTTACTCGGTGAAACCCCGTTTCTACTAAAAATACAAAAAAATTAGCCAGGCAGGGTAGTGCGCACCTGTAATCCCAGCTACTTGGGAGGTTGAGCCAGGAGAATCTCTTGAACCCAGGTGGTGAAGGTTGCAGTGGGCTGAGATTGCGCCATTGTACTCCAGCTTGGGCAACGAGAGCAAAACTCCAACTCAAAAAAAAAAAAAGCAAAAATAGAAATTTTAAGTTTAGGCCAAATAGTTTGGTGGTTTGTAAAAGCAACTTACTCTGACCATTTGTAATCATCACCTCTCTAATTAACTCACCTAGAAAACAGGTAAACGGGAAATTAGAAAACAGAATACAAAGTCCCTGCTCTGCTACTTTCTACTAGTTGACATATGAGTTGGACACATGACTCCTTGGCACTTCAGTCTCATCTTTAACATGAAAAAAATCAGATTGTTAAAACAACTCGTTTCATGTGAACATGTGTGTAAATTTCAAATCAATGTTAGGTAATATTCACTGTTAGTAATGACAATAACATCAATTTTAAAAATTGAGCTAGACTTTTTCTAGATGGAAAACGAGAACCAAATATGTAATATACATTCCCCCTTACACCCCAGGAAAAAGGGAAACCACTATGCAAAGATACAAATATTAAGAAAAATTCAATTTTCCAAGTTTTCAAGTATGTAGACTTAAAAGACCAATGGAAGGAAACCTGTTCCAAGAAAAGTTCCTATGTCTTTCATCTTCAACATCTGTGCTTGGGCTGTTCCCCTCAGCATAAGTTAAATTCTCCCCCAATTATAGGGAAAAAAAGTTCCCTTGACCAGCTTCTTCCTTAAATTATCCTGTGTTTTTCTCCCCTTCACTGGCCAATGGAATCACTATCCATTTATCACCTAACTTCCTGCAACCCTCTTGTCCTATTATTTCACTAAAAAGTCTGTCTTCCAGGTCATCAAGGACTTTTTACTCTAGAAGCCTGAAGCCGTCAACATGTGTTACACTCAACCCTGTACCTTGTTTAAATTATCTACTGCTATATAACATAACATCTCTAGACTTACGATTTAAAATCACAATGATTATCCTTTCTCACAATTCTGTGGGTCAGGTACTCGAGTAGGGCTTAGTTGGATGGTACTTTTGCTCCACGTGCTGTGGGCTGGGGTCACTCACTTGGCTGCATTCAGTGGTGGATGGGCTGGGCTGAGATGGGCTGGAAGGCGCAAGAAGGTTTGACTCAGGCCTGGTGCCTCATGATCCTCCATAGCTAGCTTGGGCTTTCTCTCAGCCTCGTGGTCTCAGGGCAGTTGGCCTTCTTACATGGTAGCTGGCTTCTGAGGAAGGAAACAGAAGCTCCCAGTCCTCTTAAGGCCTGGACTTGAAGGTACCAGAAAGAAGTACCCACTGTATCTTATTGGTAAAAGCAAGTCACATGCTTGGCCTAAATTTAAAGGGAAAGGGAAACAGGCTTCATCTCTTAAGAGAGGAATGACAAAAAAAAAAAAAAAAATCTGTGACCATCTTTAATCCTCCATATATCTACCCCTTTCTTGACATTCTTGCTCTGTTCTTAGCTGCTGTGGTGTACTGTAGTCCAGATGAATGCTTTTCAAACTTTTTTTAACCTTGACTCACAGAGAGATGTACATTTGACATTGTAATCTAAGTTATCAACACACACTCATAAAAAGTGAAAAGTTTCATAATGCCTTTACTACAATATATTTTTATTCTATTCTATTTTCCTCTATTTTATTATACGTTGTTTAAAAACACTGTTTTATTGGTCACAAACATATGCTTTCATTCTCTGGGGAGAACTGTACTTCACAGCCTCACAGATGGCTGACTTGGTCATATGATCTGCTCTGTCAAACAAAATTTGAGGAGTGACAATCATCACTTCCAGGAAGAGGTTTTAAAATGCAGGTGTGATTCACTATTCCCTTTAGATCCTCTGCCACGGGACTTGACTATTCCAGATAGACACTACTCCATCAATCTGGATTCTGGAGAAAGCCTGCATAGAGATCTTCATAGGGGCAGCCTACCCTCAGAGGATTTGCATCATGAACAAGGAACAAATCTTTGTTGTTAAAAGCCACAACTTTGTTGTGTTATTATAGTGCAGTCCACTCTGTCTTGACTGATCCATTGGTTGCAACCCACTGAAGTGATTTGGGGATCCACGAACAGATTACAGCCAATAGTTTAGAAAATTATTATACCTTCTGCCTCTTTCTGACTTCCTCCTCCTCCTTCTCCTCCTCTTCCTGATGGCAGCGGCCCCATTTCCCTGAGGGAGCTTACTGCAACGCCCGCTTTGGAGACCAGCCAGTGGTGCAGGGTCCCTGTGCCTTGGGATGAGGCTCTGCACAGGGCCACCCGGGGCTCTGTCCCCAGGGTCTGCCCTGCATCAGGGTGACCACCAGGCCTGACACTCCTGATGGCCAGGCCAGGGCCTGCAATCCACTCCTGGAGGTGTGCATTTGGTAGGGCCACAATCTGGGCAAGGGGGAGCTCCTAGCTGCCCCTGAATGCCAGGGCCATTGGGGGAGCTTGTGATGTTGCCCTTGTCCTGACACTGGCCTAGGCCCAGCGAGGACCTGGAGCCCCTGCCCCAGGCTATGAGCAGGTGCAGCTGGGCTTCATGCTCCACAAAGCCACTAGAGCCAGGAGCAGGCAGAAGCCCAAGTCAGGGCTTTGGACCCAAGACTCTCTGTCCTCCCCTTGCCTTTAAAGGCTTGGAGAAGCCTGCTCCTGCCTGGCCTCTCCCTGCTCCTGGTACCTGCTCTGATTTTGGAGTAGAGTTGAGGTCGAGCCTGGGCACTGTCATAGCCCAACCAGGTGTGTGCACACTTGAGGCAGCAATAACATGCCAGCTCCCTGCTACCTCAGCCCTCTCTGGACTTCAGGTACTGATAAGCATGTGGGGGAGGTCAAGGGAGGGTGCTGAGAGTAGCTCAGCACTGGCCTGCAGATGCCTGCTGGTATGAGCAACCTGGGCACCAGGGATGCTGGCAGGAGGCAGATGGGCTATTGGGCAGAAGGGGAAGCATCCCTGACGAAGCACTACCTTCAGGCCACAGAGGGCCTGAAGGCAAGGGGGCAGGCTGCTAGTCCCATGTACCAGGATGGGGGACTTGTGGTGCTCTTTCTGGACCCACTCATGGCTGCCCATGGATGAATTAATGGTCACTTCCTTCCCTCTGAGGCCCATCAAAGACCTGGGCTCAGCCAGAGCAGAGCAGAGGACAGAGAGACAAAGGGACGACCTGCTGCAGAACGGAGCTACAATCTCTGCCAAGAGAGGCAGAGAAAGGGAAAACCTACCTGTAGAGAGGAGCCACCTATTCTAGTTCTTTGCCAAGAGCTGCAGGATGGGATGACCAGCCTCAGAGAGGAGCTGCTGTCTCTGCTGAGAGCTATATACTTGTCAGGCTGAACAGCTGCAGAGAGCAGCTACCCTCTCTGCTCGGAGCTGACCACTCATTGGGACACCCTGGCTAGAGAGGAGCTGTCCACTGCAAGTCTTCTCTGAGCTGTTCTATTGCTTAATTAAAGCTCCTCTATGTCTTGCTCACCCTCCACTTGTCTTCATACCTTATTCTTCCTGGTCACAGGACAAGAACGCAGGACTTGACAAATGGTGAGGCTAAAAGAGTTTCTGTTACACAAACAGGACTGAAACATGCCCACTGCTTGCCATGTTGCGGGTGAAGAGAAGGAGAGAAAAGCTGCAGCTCTTCAGGAAGCCCAGACTTGGGAGTTTCCCTAGCCACAGCTGTGACTCCCTCTTTGGGGCCCTGTGGTTCCTGGCATCTCTAAGCTTCTGGGTGCCGCCGCATTCCCTAGTGCCAGCTGGGGAAGCTGCCTGCGGTGCGCCTGGTCCAGCCACAGCCTTGCAGAAAGCTGGTACCTATGCTGGCACCTGGAGTTGCCTGCCTCACAGCAGCATATCTGACTGTGCAGTGGTCAGACCTCACGCTCGCTCATATGCAACCCATCACTCCACGCCCAACCCTAGTCTCCCTTGGAGGCATGGGATCCAGGTCATCAGCATGAGCTGAGTGTAGCCTGTCAGGCAGAGTGGGGTCAATGAGCCCAGTGGGCCCAAGCAAAACTCAGGCAAAGGTACCACCAGCCACAGGTTTCCAGCAGAAAAGCAACACTTCAACGATCCTGTAACACCCCTTTATGGCAAATAAAGTAATAATCTCAATATACATCTATGACCTCTCTCTTTTCTCAACAATATCCCTGGGCAACTTTATCCCTTACACTGTCTTTATTATTTCTTGCTTGGACTAGTAAACTTTCCTGTCACCTAGATGTTCACTTTTCATACAGCACTTTTTCTCTCTCCCTCTCATTTTCCTTTTCTTGGAGAGATTCATTTATCTGATGCATGACTGCTATCATCAGAGATCCTTCATGGCTTTCTGCTGTCCAGAAAATGACTCCACACTCCCTAGCCCAGCTTGTCATCTATCTCTATTGACCTGGAATCTCACGTCTTGACTGATCCCTCCAGGCACACTCTGCTGCAACCCAGTCCCACACCTACTGCCCTCTCTCTGTGCCCAGTGATAAAAACTCTTTCTCTTCATGCTGTCCCCTTGCTTAGAGTGCACAGTAACCACCCCCCGTCATGCCACCATATCAAATCCTCTACTTCCAGACACAACTCCTTCAGTGGCCCTGAAGCTCTTCCAGGAAGCTTTTTCTGAGCTTCCAAGGTAGAAGACACCTCTCTCCACAAAATATTCAGAGCCTTAGAGTACTGCCTCATTTTGCATTTCATGTCTTGTCACTTAATCGAGGGACAGGACTCTGACAAAATTTACTATGACAAATGAGTTATTTCCTATTCTTCTCCCCCCCTCTAGATTATCTCAACTGTTGAACACAGTGAGTGACATTATATGAATACTTCTTACAAGCATGTCTAACTTTGACAGCAGACATGAAGTTTCAGCAGAACAGTGTAAGTAAACTACAGTCTCAATAATCTCATTGTTAGAGAACATTGAAGCTATTTTTCCCTAGTATGGATAAGGTATATTCCTGAATCAACATATACATGATTAACATGCTATTCTAATTCTTTTAGTAAAGTTTTGAAAGATTCTCAGCTGTAGTTGCATTTGAGTCTCTAAAATTTTGAGTTTTAAAGTGCCCTAAAGCATCCTTTTTGAGGATCTCAAAAGAAGTAAGAGAAAAAAGGCTATGAGTGATAACAATACCCACACGTTTAATGCTGTCAATTTTACTCATTTATCTTTATTTAGGACCTGTTCATTCATATTGAAAAAGATGATAATGTGGTTATCAGTTTTCTCTGCCCATAGCAAATCAGTAGCAATAAATTAGAAGTAGGGAAAAGAAGGGGTACTTAACACTGAGAGGGGAGATAGAAAAACTAAAATAGACACACAGGAACCATTTTTTTTAATGAAGAAACATGATCACTTAAGACATTTCAGGATACAGGCACATTCCTTTTCATTACATTTTATTCTGGCACAACACTATTCAAATAATGGTGTTATTACCACTGCCCTGAAATAACTACAGAAAAATTCCTCCATAGTCAATTCGTATTGCTGAAGAAGGCAGATAAACAAATAATATATTTTAGACAAATTTTTATCCGGTTGGAAAAAACAGGTCCTTAAAGGAGTGACTTTATAAGTATTCTGGAAATTTCATTCAGAGAGAAGACATTTTTGCCAACCACACAAAGAAAACATGAAGGCCAAATAATTTAAAAAATTAAGTTTATGAAGGATCTGATATGCCTGGAAGAGGAGGGCATGTTATCATTAAAGGTTATATAAATTATTGGAGGAGAATTAAAGTTATATTACTTGAAGTTCACCCCAAGACTCAGTGCAGAATCACTGAACTGAACTTTATGGAAAAGATTTACTGGCAAAATCAGGTGACACATTTTTAACATATAGAGGGTTGATGATAAGAGAAAGAAGATTCTAGATAGTGGGGATAAGATGACTACTTTTCTCCCTCTGTATTAGTCTCCCTTCACGCCAACATACAACCCTGAAATTGTTAGAGCTTTCAGGGGTTTCGTATCCTGAAGCACCAACACAATGAGCCACACAAACCTAGCAGTTAGATGCACTGCAGGACACGCAGACTGCGATCATCCACAGGCTGAAGGAGCCATCGATACCCATCGATACCTTCTGAGATTCTTTTTATACTCACAGCTAATACCAGTATACCCCACCCCAGATTCAGAACCAAGGCTGAATCCTGGCAAGAGACCTTTCTCTCACTTTCCATTGATAAAATGAAAGATGGGGTCAGATTGTCTCTAAAGCCTATCTCAGTTCTAAGATCCTATAACTCTAAAAACAATTATGTTTATTATTATAAGTCATGATAGTTATTATTTAACAGTCTTCCAATTACCTATTTGCTCAAGTTTCTCCTTAAATTCCCTATATTGAGCATTACTTTCAAAATATATGAAGAATATCTCTAATTCTATGTATGGAATTTGTTTAGATAAATAATTTTAAATATCAGATTTTTTTTAAATGGACATTTTTTTAGTATATTAAAATACAGGTCAGACAACATATCTGACATATACAATAAGTGTCTTAAAATTATTTAAGACCAAGTTGTCTATAATTAGTTATGAAAATATTGTAAAGAGCTGAACCAAAATAAAACTAAATAAACCAGCTAGCTACTAAACTACACATATGTCCTCAAAATCTTACGAGTCAAATATTCCAGTAAAAATAACAGAAGAGATGGAAACACAAGTTTCTTATTATCACACTTCATATGTTATAAAACATAATAGCTAACTTATTTTTGGCAAAATGATTAAGGATTGTAACATTCTGGCTTACACAAACTTATTTGTCAAATGCATCTTAAATGGAGCATGTCATGCTAACTTCAGGCATGCAGGCACTCTGGTGTCTTAGCACAGCCCAGAGACACTGAAATTTCGACACTTTGGCTGGGATCACACCACTAATATTCACTGACCCAGGTGTTTAATGAGGGCTGGGGATGGGGTGGGGAATTTCAACAATGTAGTTAATTGAAACCAGATAATGCTTCTGAATAATAATTTAAAAATCATGCAGATGTTCACTGCTCCCACCATCCCCCAAAATAAGTGACCTTTTGGACAATTTATTGCACACATTATTTTCTAGCCTACACCCTTTTTAAGAAGATAAAACACAGCTTCACATGTCTTTCTGAAAACTCTATAATCAGTTTCAGTTACGTCTCCACAAATAAAGTAGGTTAAGCTCATGTTCCATCTTTGTTTCTCCTTTTCACCACTGTTCCTGCAAGAGCAAGGACACCTGAAGGCAGGACAATAATTAGAAAGTTATGACGCTGAAAAAGCTGTAAGAAAGCACATTAACCTTGGGATGCATTCTACTTCTTTCCCAAAAGACATTGTGAATATGAGCCCAAAAGAGAGAAGGGTTCAAGACAACGTGTTGAACAATCATTTTCAAATACACAAAAGAGAAACTACACATCACATGCAGAGTAGATCTGGAGCAAATGCAAAAACCAAAACAGATCTGTGATTAATACTAGCCTGGGAGAAGCTCAGAAATGAGCGTGTTCTTCTCTATGCTTACAGAATAGTAATGCTATTATTTCAAATATGTAAGTATCCTTTTTAATGTTTTTAAAGCATTTAGGACACCTGGAACAACTAACAACAAATAATTATATTTCATGTCAGTTTGCTACATTTTTCTTTGACAGGACCAAGTGAAAATAAATGCAGTACTTTCATTTCTGTACATCCCATGCCCATGTGCTTGACTGCACAACACACAGTGAAATTCTAATTTTAGAGTGGTGGGGTATGCAGCTCTGACACAGCTCCCAATGCCCTTTACTTCCTAGTATTCATGCCCTTGTGTAATTCTCTTCTCTTGAGTGCGGGCTGGACCTGGTGACTTGATTCAAACAAGAATACAGGAAATGTGATGGGATGTCACTTTGTAACTGGATTACAGCCTGTGACTTTCATCTGCTAGAAGGCTGTCTCCTTGGATCTTCTTCCAGGCTTGCTCTAAGAAAGCAAGCTAGACAGATTGACATGTTAAGGAAGGTGGCCTCTACCCAACTGCCACCACTGAATGATGACCCTCTGTCCAACAACTCTCAAGCAACAGGATCCTGCCAGTCGCCACAGGAGTGAGCCTGGATGCAGATCTGTCTCAACTAAAGCCTTCAGATAAGATTGCAGTCCTGGAAGACATGTTGGTTAAAATCTTGGGAGAGTCCCTGAAGCAGAGAACCCAGCTGAGCTGTGGCCAGACTTCTGACCAGAAACTATGAGTGAAGAAATGTGTATTGCTTTACACTGCTAAGTTTTGGGGCAATTTGATACACAGCAGTAGCTACCTAATATGGTAGTTAACCTAATGACTGAGACAATGACTGTAGAGTTATTCCCTAATAATAATAATAATAATAATAATAGCTAATACTTATTTGGAACTTTAAAGTTCCAGATGTCATACTTAATACTTTACATAATTCTTTACAAAAATCCTTTGAAGAACATATTATTATCTCCATTTTACAAATGAGGAAACTGAGGTTGAGACTCAAAACTGAGGTGGAGACTCAATAATTTGTCTAAGATCAGACAAGACTAAAAAAAAAAAATGACAATAAATACTGGAACCTAGGTGTCCTGGTTCTAGTGCCAGAACTCACAGCAACTGCAGAAGTGGAACCACTAAGAGGCAGGGCTGCTGGACACCATAAAGATGGCAACCACATGACACAGTAATAGAGGAGGCTTCAAAGGCACAAAAGAGATTAGAAGCTGTGGAAAAGGCTAAAAGCAAAAATAAAGCCTGCATTCTAATTAAGATATCTTATTTAGGGAAGAAATCCAACAGAGTAGACGATAATACAGTGAATGGAATACAACCTTGAATGTATTGAATTCACACTTAGAAATGAAAAATATGTTTTCTTATACCCAATAAAAGAAAATTTAAAACCTCCATTTGGTATTAAAAACCACAGCAAGGGAAGCTATAGTTGTACATTTCCCAAGGACAATTATGAGTAAGAAGCAAGCAGGTCAAGCTGGCGAGAAAAGGAGCGAACACTTAGTGAGCTGTGAGACCCCCCTGAAGGTCTTTTATCCCATGGAGTGAGAAACAGTCAAAATCCTAGCACAAAGCAGCCACAAAGGGATCATGTCCTATCTTGGCTTCAGATTACTGGGTTTAACAGCACTCCATGCTCCCACACCACCTGAACTTAAACAGGGCAGCAGGTATCACATCTATTGGTTAGACTGTCTCCTCAGACTCCATGCTCTCCTATTTCAAAGACTCTCTTATTGGCTGGGATGTCCTCAAAACATAGCACAGGATCTGACACCTGCAAAGGGCTTAATATACTTTTGTTGAATAGAGAAATGAATTATCTTGTGAACTGCATCCATTCAGTAAGTTATTTCAATGGTATATGTTAGTGAAAGTACAAGTTTTTGTTTTGCTTTATATCTCTTATAGTTCAGTTGCTTTCCTGGGCACTTTAAATAGGTCTTTGTGTCTCTAGTGCCTCACTCAGCATCTGGCACAGAGTGGTACCCAATAAATATTTGTGAGTATTTGTGAATGTGTGTCTCAAAAAGGCTTCCAAGATACAGAACAGATAAGGACCTGGATTTATGACTTAATAAAGACGTAGTGTTCCATAAAGACAGCTGTTTGTCTATCAGTGATGATGATGACACATTTCTTCCTTCTGAGAGAAGGCAAGAATATTTATAAAACACCCTCCCATAAAAGACAGATTCTTGTTTAGGTCTTACCTAGTGACTATTCCTAAATATTTCTTGATAAAAAACAGCAAGTAATATGTAACTTAAGAACTCCAGATAACCCTAGAATGAAAAACATTCTTTCAGAAGCTTCCTGTCTCCCCAGGCATTATTCTTGGAAACATTATGAACAGATATTCACATAAGCCCATGGTAATATGGAGATAAGAGTAAAGGCAGCAACCAAATATCCCTCTCCCTATTTTATTCATCAACTAAACCAGAGACAAAAGAGCACAGGAAAGGTGAGGAGGATTTGTGCAGCCACACAGTCAAGCACCCACAGTTACCTCTGGAGGCCTACTTACTGGGAGATCAGGGACTCGCTTCAGCATCTGAAGAGTGAAATAGCTGCCTATTGAATGGCCAATGAGCACAAGCTTCATGTCCTTTGGCACATGAGTTCTCAGGAAAGCTAGTTTGTGCTCTATTTGTCCATTCAGGCCATAGATGTCCTTAATTTCTTGAGCATTTGAATCTGTAAGAAAAAACATGAGAATGTTTTCATTCAGTAAGTAATCACTGAAAAAATATCAAGAAAAAGATAATAATTATAAAAGTCGTTTATATTAAAACTGGCACACTGTAGGCTTTTGATATATTTATCAAAAGCCTACAGTGTGCCAGTTATAATATTAGACACTCATATTAACCAATTTTCACAACAATCTGGGAAGAAACATTATCACCTACGTGTGATAGGTAAAAATCTCAATGCTCATAGATAATAGTTGACAGATTAGCAGTCACAAACTTATTAAGTGGGAGAGGTGAGATTCAAATTCAGGTCTCCAAATCCTCAAAGTCCATGAACTTTCAATGATTCCATGTATTACTGTTAGCTTAGGCCAGTGATTCTCAAACTTGAGCATGCATAAGAATTCCTTGAAGGCTTGTGAAAACAGATTGCTGGGCTCTACACCCTAGAGTTTCTGTTTCAGTAGGTCTAGGTTGGGGCCTGAGAGGTTGCATTTCCAAGTTTCCAGGAGATATTGATGCACTGGTCCCAGCAACACACATTGAGAACCAGATGCTTAGGCGAACTTATATTATTAATAGACAACTAAAAAAGTCCATGACATGGCTTAATTATTTGAGATAATCTTTGTTTATTTGTTTAAAGAACCCAGACTGAAAAACTTAAGTAGAAATGTTCAAAACTGTATCTTTTAAACAACCAACACACTCCTGACCTGAAATATCCTCCCTTCCTGTCACAAATGAACTGCTTTTCTAGATTCTTCAAGATCTAATTAAAACTTTACCTAGCTAATCCTCAAAAAAATTAATGAGATTTTTGTGCCTAAACAGTACCTGATTCTTTTATTATAGCACTTTATTAAACTTGTATATTGTCTGTTTGTATGTTTATTTCCTCTCTTAGGCTGTGAGTTCCTTGAAGGCAAGGTCCATCCATCTTTTCACCTGTGTCCTGTGACTAGTAGACAGCAAATGTTATTGCTGAATGAAAAGTGGAACTGACTAGATGGTCTCTGAGGATGCTCGCTGCTCTGATAATCTATGAGGGTAGAAAATTTGAATAGTTTTTCCCTATGAACATATACACAACCATTGACAGGGTATAATATTTCAAAATATCACAAGACAGTCAACTACTTCCTAAAATTTGAATGACTGAACATTGAATTTCTTGCTCTCACGACTTGCAAGGCATTGATGGGAATTATAATCAGTATGGCTCATTCAAAAGGCACCCCAAACTCTGAAAAACTACTCTTCCGTTTCGTTTGTACATGGTTTTGGTTTTTTTTTTTTTTTTTTTTTGCTCATCTCCCCTTTTGGTCTGAGTCCTATTCATCCTACAAACTTGAAACAAGCATTATCTCCTTTGAGAGACCTTTTTATAATTCATTACATGAGGAGTAAAGTAGCTCTTCTTTCAGTTTCCACAACATCCCTGTTTATTTATCTCACTATACTACTCCTAATTCACTCCTAGTTTACAATTCAGGTCTTGCTTACCAGTGCTCCCTGAAGTCCGAAGTCCAGCATACAGTTATTGAAAGCGTTCTATTGACTCAATGAGGCTTACTTCCCTATTTGCACAGTACTATTAATCTCCCAGGAAAACATGTTCTGCTCTCACTCTTTTTCTCCATTTAACAAGAAAGTTCAGCATGAAACAGAATGAGAAGAGAGAGAATCTGGAACCTGACTTGGGTAGGACTTCTAATGGCTCCAAATCCACCTTTTTATGCATAAAATATTATACTTAAGTTTGAATAGTTTATACCCTGCTTCTCTAATCACTCTACCCAAAAGTTATATCATTCTTCGATATGAAAAAAACACAATAATATTAATATTTGCATCCAAGTTATTTTCAAAATATGCAGCATTTGGAAATGTCTAAGTCTTCCTTTTGTTGGGACAGTAGGTGCAGTACAAAGAACGCAGGCTCTGGAGATGAGATAAATCTGGGTTTAAATCTCAGGTCAGAATCTCCCTAACTGTGTGACTTGAGCAAATCCTTTAACCTAGGCTTCAGTTTCCTCATACACAAATAGAGATAATAATGGCTTCTGTTTAAATATCTGGCATAAACAGATAAATAAAAGCTGTGACTGCCATCATTTCAATTCCTGTTATTTAAGTCCTCCTCCAAATATATGCCAAGAACATTTACATGGTTAGAGCAAAGAGAAAGAAAATGAGCTAAATATTCTAAAAATTCATTGACACCATAAATGAGGTCCTAAAACATTATATTTCAGATAAACTTTAAAGGACATTATAAATCAGAATATTTCAGAGGTAGATCTGGTTTTAACTTTGGGAACTACTCAGTAGCTTTCCAAGAACACACTACTTGTTAGTGTTTGCAGAAGTGGTAAGAGTAATGGGGAAAGTACTTTCTAAAAATAAACAATGATAGAAAATTTAAACATGCTATCTTTTTAAATTTATTTTTTATCTTATATATTTATTTTTTGAGACAGAGTCTCATCTGTTGCCGAGGTTGGAGTACAGTGGCACAATTTCGGCTCACTGCAACCTCCACCTCCTGGGTTCAAGCAATTTTCATGCCTCAGACTCCCAAGTAGCTGGGATTACAGGCGTACACACCAGGTCCAGTGAATTTTTGTAGAGACAGGGTTTCACCATGTTGGCCAGGCTGGTCTCAAATTCCTGACGTCAGGTGATCCACCTGCCTCGGCTTCCCAAAGTGCTGGGATTATAGGCGTGATTCACCACTCCCAGACTATCTTTTTAAATTTTACTAGTAAATAAAATTCTAGATATTATTTTACTAGCAAAAAATGAAAAGTTAAAAGAACATATACATGAATATATATTTTCATTCCTGTTATTTTAATAGTAACGTATTATGAAAAAATGCTAGTAATTATTAATTTACTCTTCATAAAATGTAGAAAAAATACATTCAATTGTATCAAAACCAGAAGAATGCTAATATGGAAATCATTTGTACCATTCTTTCTATAAGGAAAATATACTCCAAGTTATAATCAATGAAGCACATTTGCAGCATAATCTCTTTCTAAATTGAGAACTACCCGAATTGGTGATTTACAATCCAATTCAATCCACCATATCATTAACAACAAATAGTCCTAAGAATCGTACTGAGAATTTCCTCTTGGAACCTGAGCCTATTTCTCAGACCCATCTCTATTAGATATCACGTCACAGCTCATCTATCAGTTCTAGAGTTTATTTCAAAAGATACACACAACTTGCCCTGAAATAGTAGAGAAATTAATATCAGTATTTCACATTACTTTTTGCCTAATCGTTCAAATTTGCTGATCCAGTTGTTAAACTTATTAAGCAGTTATTAAAATTGCTTTCAGTTTTTAATTCCCTTACAGCCTCAGAACACAGATAAATCTGATGATGATTATTTTCTTCATTTTACACGAACTAAATTGACTAGTCTAACAGAAAACAGTGACTAGTTGGCCCTTGGTATTATTGAAAGCACAGAAATAAATAAAATATACTACCTTTGCCTTTGAGGAGATCATAATCTACTAAGAGGAAACACACATAGATAAAAACACAATTATTAAATGCTAAAGTTAAGTATCTCAAGCATTTGCTTGAGGAAAGAACAGAGTTTATTAGATCACAATACAAGGGTAATGACCCTTAGATTCATAAAAAGTACTGCACCTTTTCCCATTCTACCAAAGATAAATAACTAGAAGATATTCTATACTACATGCACATTACTATAAATGTATATATGTTTATGTATCTGAATCCAAGCAAAACAGTTTAAATTTATCTATTTAACTACAATTCCTATATATAAATGGCTATATACTGACTATAAATGCATATTTTCAACTGTTTATTTTCATACAAGCAGTATTTATAGGTCATCTCTGACCACAGAGCAGACAAGACTGGAGATTGGCACTACATATGCCTTTGGTACGACTGAGTCTGCAGACAGTAACTACTTCTTACACCCGAATTTGCTCAGCTACTAAACTCTTCCATCTTGCCCCCATCATTACTCCAAAGCTGCATCTTAATAACTTCAACTTACATGTAAAAAAATCAAAGACTAAACATAGTATTTCATATTTTAAAGAATTCATTGATCAAGATGAAACTACAGTTTCCTAGTGAAGCATGTTCTCATTCTAAGGTGGGAGTTGAACATTGAGAATACACGGACACAGAGAGGGTAACACTACACACCAGGGCATTGGGGGGTGGGGGTGAGGGAAGGGAACTAGAGAACGACCGGTCAATAGGTGCAGCAAACCACCATGGCACATGTATACCTATGTAACGAACCTGCACATGCTGCACATTTATCCTTTTTTTTTTTTTTAGAAGAAATTAAAAAAAGAAAATACAGTTTCCTCCTTAGGAATTTTTTTTAAATACACAAAAAAATTATATGCTATTCACCGTATATATACATGTATATAAATATATATAACTAAAAATATAAAAAGAGACATGAAGCACTTACTCTAAATTCATGATAGAATCAGAGATGGGATACAAAGAACAAAACTTTTTCTATATTGTTTTATTTCACTTATTTTGTTAACAAAAACATTTATGTAATTATGGCAATGTTAACTGTCAATTGTGAGTAATAGAATCTTTGACTGTTACATAACTGTGTTTTTCTATGGTTTTAAAATTTTTTTTAAATAAATTAACAGAAGCCCCCAAGGATTTTCTGGGTTCTTACTAAATATCAGTGAATTGGCTCAGGGAGAACTGTGGTCCCTAATTCTGTATGCTTACCTAGTTCATCGATCCAAAACGCCTTCCTTTCACATCTGTCCCAAGGTTACTAAGCTAAAGTGAGAATACACGCTCATTGATTGCCAGCTCCCTCCCTAAGTATTCTGTAAGCTCCTTGTAACTAAACTCTGCTACAACTCTGTTAGCTCTAAAAGTATGCATCAGAGTGAGGGGGATGGGAGATAATCATTCTATTTAACCCTGCTATCTTGTTTAGAA